GCACTTAACAACAACAACAACAAGTTGCATTTAGCTTACAGTAGGCCTTCACTGTCAGTGTGTTTATGGGACCATTTTTCCCAGGCAGCCCTGGCAGAAACATTCCTGGAGGAACACAATGGTTGCTTGGTTGTGATGTTATGTCCCAAGAGCCTGAGAATATAAACTTTCCTATCTGAAATCATCCCCTGCCTGCTTTCTGAAGGCCTGGTATTTGTATTTGATGCATGGCTGCTGCCATCAGTCATGGTTGTGGGAGGAGATTGTCCTATACAAAGTCACATATCTGAGATAGAACTTTGGAAAACTCATAGCTTGAGTTCTTTGACTCGGGTGATTTATATTTCTGTCTTGTGTTTACTCTTGTTTAAAACTTAATAAAGAATCTTTATGATATTTGTATCTTTGAAGATGGGGTTTCTTTTCTCCTCTAAAATAGCACTTTAGGCAGCTGGCAGTCAACAGTGATTCATGGAGTGCTCTGTTGTTGTTGGGTACTTTGGAGCTAGTACAATAGAATGAAACACCACCTGGCTCTGCACTTTCCTCACAACCATTGCTATGTTGAGCCTATTGTTGCAGTCACTGTCTCCGTCCTCTCCTTGAGATTCTTCCTCTTTGTCTGCTGACCAAGCATGATGTCTTTTTTTGCGGTGTGGTCCCTCCTGATAGACATTTCCAAAATATGTGAGATATTTTACCTCCTCACTTTTTCCGTTTGTTTTAGCATCTCTATGCTGGTGAGCAAGTTTCAGATCTCTTCTGACATCCATTTTGGTCTTTTCTTCTTCTCTTGTCTTCTTAATGACCTTTTGCTTTCTTCCTGTATGATGTTCTTGATGTCATCCCACAACTTTTCTGGTCTTCAGTCCTTAGTGTCTAATGCATCAAATCTGTTCTTCAGGTGATTTCTAAATTCAGGTGGGATATGTCATATTTTGGCTCTCGTGGACTTGTTTTAATTTTCTTAAGCTTCAGCCTGAGCTTGCATATGAGCATTTGATGATCTGTTCCACAGTCTGCCCCTGACCTTGTTTTGGCTGGTGGTATGGAGCGTTTCCACTGTCTCTTTCCACAGATGTAGTCAATTTGATTTCTGTTTATTTCATCTGGTGAGGTCCATGTATATAGTTGTCTTTTATGTGGGTTAATGTTGCAGTGAAGAAGTCGTTGGTCTTGCAAAATTCTGTCATGATGTCTCCATTGTTGGAGATTAGTAGCATTGTTTCTACCACCAAGTTCATATTTTCCAACTATTGATTCTTCCTCTTTGTTTCCAACCTTTACATTCCAATCACCAGTAATTATCAATACATCTTGATTGCATGTTTGATCAGTTTTAGACTGAAGAAGTTGGTTGTTGTTGTTATGTGCCATGAGTCGGTTCTGACCCATAGCGACACTGAACAGGGTTTCCGAGGTTGTAAATCTTTCTGGGAGCAGAAAGCCTCATCTTTCTCCCGTGGAACAGCTGGTAGTTTCGAACTGCTGATCTTGCAGTTTGCAGCCCGATTCGTAACCACTATGCTACCAGAGCTCCTGAAGAAGTTGGTAGAATTCTTCAATTTCATCACCACTGGCTTTAGTGCTTGTTACGTAAATTTGACTAAAAGTGGTATTAACTGGTCTTCCTTGTCAGTGTATGGCTATTATCCTATCCCAGACAATGTTGTACTTCAAAACAGATTTTGAAGTGTTCTTTTTGATGATGACTGCGACACCATCCCTCTTCAATTTGTTATTACCAGCATAGTAAACCATGTGTTTGTCAGATTCAAAATGACCAATATCAGTCCATTTCAGCTCACTAATGCCTAAGATGTTGATGTTTATGTGCTCCATTTCATTTTTGACAATTTCGAATTTTCCTAGTCATACTTTGTACATTCCATGTTACAATTACTAATGGATGTTTACAGCTGTTTCTCTTCATTTTGCGATGTGTCCCATCAGCAAATGAAGGTCCCATTCTCATCATCATGGTCAACTCTACTTTGAGGAGGCAGCTCTTCCCCAGCCTTATTTGGAGTGCCTTCTCATCTGAGGGGCTTATCTTCTGGCACTATATCTGACAATATTCTGGTGCTTTTTCATCATGTTTCAGTATTCAATATTTTGGTGCTATCTGACAGTATTCCACTACTGTTCATAAGGTTTTCAGTGACCAAATATTCGAAAGTAGTCCGTCTCTCTATCTTTGTAGTCTGCCTTCATTTGGTGACCTTGCTAGTATTTAAAATACCAGTGGTGTAGCTTCCAGAATCACAGCAACTTGCAAGCCACTACAGTACAACAAATTGAGTGAGGGATATGCATATGGAGTGATCAAAATGACCATGGCTTGAGTTAGGCACACCTTAATCCTTTGAGTGACATCTTTGCTCTTTAACATTTTTAAGAGGCCTTTTGCAGCAGAGTTGCTGAATGCGATAAGTCATTTGCAATAAGCATCTTGACTAATGCGTCTATGACCGTTGATTGTAAATGCTATTGATATTAAGTGCTGTGTAGTCACTTCAGATTCATACTGTATGGGGTTTCCAAGGAGTGACTGGTTGGTTTGAACCGCTGACCTTGCTTGTCTAATGCTTATCCTACAGATGCTGTGGATGCTGTAGAGACTACAAAAGCTGTGTGGTCCTTGTTTTCAGGTTATTTTTCTGTTGAAATTGGGAGAGAGGAAATAATAGATAAGAAAAAATAAACAGGAGAGGCTTCAAAATGTTTACAAAAAAGTGGAATGAAAATAATGGAATTTGTCCATGAACTTTTTAGAAGCCCCTCATGTATGGAATATATACCATAAATCCCTGTATCTGGAACTTAATGAACACTTAAATGTTTTAAAGTAAATGTTGAATGTAGTTATCAGAGACAGGTGGGGTAAGTCAGGGAAAATTGACATTTAAAAATGACATTTGTGAAAGTGTTCTTCAGAGGAAAAGGGCATATTTTCAATAGAAGGGAATGCCTTCTGTGGAGGTATGAACAAGGTTGAACATAGGATAAAGAGTTGAATCTGACATTGCCAAGTGCTTTGTGTGAATTTTTCTCTTTATCTCTACAATATGTTCTTGCCTTCCCATAGAGTAGTTATTATCCAGATATTTACATTTTATGGGTGAAAAAACTGAAGATGGGCGAGATTAAGTCAAATGGCTTGTTGGGAGCAAGGTATTTATAAGGAGAAAGCCACATGCTCTAGGGCAGTGCTGCTCAGACTTTAATGTGTTTATGAGTCACCTGGGAATTTTTTTAAATGTCGATTCTAATTTAGTAGACTGGGTTGGGGACCTCAAGCTCCATATTTCTAGCAAGCCCCCGAGTATACTAATGCTGCTAGTCTCGGCACCATGCTTCTAGTAGCAAGCTCTAGAAAATGGTAGTCCAGAAATGGCTTTTTGTTCTCAAGTAGAATTCTTTTTCTGGTGCTCAAATCTCTGACTTTTCCCATCTTAGGTGGCCCTGGCGTCCAGCTCTGCATCAGTGATGTACTCCCTGCCCTGGCAAAGATGCTGCGTGGCCACAAGGCAGAGCCCCTGCACCTGTGTCATCGGCTGGACAAGGAAACTACTGGTGTGATGGTGTTGGCTTGGGAGAAGGAAGTGGCACATCAGGTCCAACAGTTGTTTAAAACCCGTCAGGTGGCCAAGAAGTACTGGTATGGGGCCCATTGATGGTTGTAGAGGTGGCATCCCTTTCATATATTCATCCATTCATACATCAAGAACCTCCTAGTAATAGAAGACACTCTGCTAGGACCTGTGGGAAAACAAAAATAGATGAAACAGCTGTGGCACTTAGAATATTAATAGTCTGATAGAATAGTGGTTCATGTTTCTTAATCCTGACTGTATATCAGAATTATCAAAAGTTAAATATACAAGTAATATGATTTCATTTCTATGATAAAAAGTACATAAAGCAAAAGACCCTTGGAGGACCCACCTACTTTTCTATTCTAGTTCCTTCCTTTGGCATAGCAACCTCTGTTATCATTTTGGTTTTTATCTTTCTGGTCCTTAATTTATATACATACTTATTACATACATTATGTCTCTATGTGTGTATGTGTCACATTGTATGGTGTACAATGTACTTTCTTTTCCTACAACTCTAGCTTATGAGTCTTTCCATGTCAATACATATAGAAATACTCAATTTTTAAAATTTATGTTGTTGTGGTTGTTGAGTGCCATCAAGTCGGTTCTGATTCAGAGTGACCCTGTATAGGGTTTCCAAGAAGCGGCTGGTGGATTTTAACTGCTGACCTTGTGGTTCAAACTGACATTGCAGTCAAGTGCTTATCCTATGGCACCACATCAGGACTAGAAAAGAAATCATCTTCTTCTATTCCCCATCCACTCAGCTTCCTTTGTCAAAAGCAATCACTGTGACCAGTTAATTTCCATATATTTCTGGAGATTTACAGAAGAAAGTGTAAATTTCTAGAGTTATGTTGGGCATCTATAATCATATTATATGGCAGCATATTTTATACACAGTTTTGCACCTTGCTGTTTTCACTTGGACAATATCTCTTGAAGCATTTTGTGTTGTACATTTGAATGGCTCTGTGGTAGTCCATGTCATAATTTATTTACCTAACACCTTATTGATGGTTGTTTAAGCAAACTCCCATTTTTCAGGGCTTATTACAAAGAATATGTAAGTATTTCTCTATGGTACATCTTTACAAATGGAATGACTGGGTTGAAGGGCATGCACATTTAAAATATAATACTTATCACTCAAATTGTTCTACAAAAGGATTCTATCAATTTACTTTTCCATGAGTGTAAGTACCCATCTCCTCGTATGCCTGACTAATGAATTTTTTTTAATAATAAAGATTTATATAGCACAACAATTACCAGTTCAGCATTTTTCAGGTGTGTACAATTTAGTGATATCAGTTACATTAATCTTGTTGTGCAACCATCACCCATAATCATTGCCACATTTCCTATCACTATAAACAGATACTCACTGCTTCCTAACAATGGCTTCTCTTCTTCCCCCTTCCTTCTACCATTTTTAGTTGTGCGTTGCTGAATGCACAAGAAGTCTTGGTGTGATGCTGTAGGATAAGCACTGGATGGCTAACCACAAGGTTGGCAGTTCAGACCAACCAGCTTCTTGTCAGAAACAATGTCGCTCTGAGTCGGAACTGAGTTGATGACACTTAACTGTGGCACTGTGGGTTAATGTGCTGGACTGCAAGGTCGATCACTTTGCACCATAAGGTCGGTGGTTCAGGCTCACCAGCCACTTCTTGGAAATTCTATACAGGGTCACTATGGGTCGGGACTGACCCAATGGCACTAAACAACACAAGCAATCAAAATGTAAGTGTAGAAAAGATAAGTGTTATGTTTGTGAAAATTATGTGTGAAAGTTCAGAATCAGTAACCATTCTCAGTATTAGACTTTGTGGGTGAGTTGAAATCAGTCAACTGGGTCTTGATGAATGAATAGGATTTGATAGGGGAGATGGAAAAATATATTTGAGATTGTGGGCGTGGCATGAGCAAATAAGTACGCAATCTAAATTGGAGTTGGGGTGGGTGGTGAGAGAAATTCTGGAAAGATAGGCTGGAACCCAGTTAGTGAAGATCTTAAGTACTAGGTACAGGAAGTGAAAGTTGGAAATAGAGCTTAGGAAGACATCTTGTTGTCAGGTGCCATCAAGTTGGTACTGACTCATACCGACCTTATGCACAGCAGAATGAAACACTGCCCGATCCTGGGCCAACGTCACTACTGAGACTTACTATTTATTACACAGGACTTTTTATTGCAGTTGTTTGTTTAATCTTCTTTGCTAGACTACAAATTCTTTAAGAGTAGGGATTGTTGTTTTGTCCATGGCCTACCTAGAGGCCCTGGTGTGGTGCTGTAGGAAAAGCACTGAACTGCTAACTGCAAGGTTGATGGTTCAAACCCACCAGCCAATCCTCAGAAACCCTATACAGGGTCCCTTTGAATTGGAACTGACTTGACAGCACTTAACAGCAACAAGTACTTACCTAAAAGAGCCATGGTGATGCTATCTATGGGTTAGGTGTTGGACTGTTCATCATAAGTTGGCAGTTCAAACTCACCAGCTTCTCTAAATGAGAAAGATAAGACTGTCTTCTCCTGTAAAGGTTTACAGTCTCGGAAAACCTACATAGGTAGGATTTGAGTCAGAATCGATTCAATGGCAGTGGGCCTGGGGTTTTGTTTTGAGTGCCTACCTAAATCATTGCCTCACCAATTTGGTGAATTATTACTGATTGAAGATGTTTGAATAATTGTGCTATGTTGTTGTTGTTAAGCGCCATTGAGTTGGTTCCGACTCATAGTAACTCTGTACAGGGTTTCCGAGGAGCAGCTGATGAACTTGAATTGCCAACCTTACAGTTTAAACTGACTTTGTAGTGCAGCGCATTAACCCACAGCGCCACTCCAGGATGCTCTACCATTCCAAAACTCACTGCTGACAAGTGGGTTCTGACTCAGAGTGACGCTATAGGACAGAGTAGAACTGCCTCATAGGGTGTCCAAGGCTGGAAATCTTTGTGGAAGCAGACTGCCACTTTTTCTTATGCTGGGAGGTTTGAACACCTGACCATTTGGCTAGCAGTCAAGTACTTTAACCACTTTGCTTCCAGAGCTCCTTGCTATATCATTAGGAAGGATAATAACAGTTATAGCATGTTTTAAGTTTAAAACATGATAAAATGTGTTAGATAGCAGCCGAAACTGACAGAGGCCATGAATCTGAAGTGAGCTATCTAGGATATGAAGTATTGCCTTTAACCCCTTGGTCAGTGATTCACTGATATCCCTCTAAGTACCCAATAAGACTCCTTGAAGGTGGACTTTATGACATGAAGGAGGCATAAATTGAAGGACAGATTAAACATAGTCTTTTACCTGTCTGAGATATGATGACAGGGAGACATCAGTCATAATTGATTCAGAATGAGCTATTGAGTGGTGGCTGTTTGATTCAGTTCCTTCCTGGCAAATAGAGTGGAAGGAGTCCTGTAAGTTTTACATTTAGTCCATTCAGTCACTCATGTTTGTTTGTTTTTTAATGTTTTATTGTGAATTATATGATAGTTTACATGGGAGAACATTAGTTTTACATTCATTCTATCGTATATCATTTGATTGCAATGGTTACAATCCCCTCCATGCATCATCAACCAACCAAAGGGTATACCCTGCAAGTCTGCCCCCCTACACCCCCCCTACACTCCCAATCTTCAGCACACAGTCGCTCTCCCTCTCTGGATCTAAAGTCCCCAGCTGCTCCATCACTCCACATCATCGTCTCTGCCTCCATCTCAGGTATCACTGCTTCTCTGGTTAGGGTCCCGCTCTCGGCTCTTCTCCGTTGATGGTCCTAGGGAACTCTGCTCCTAGACTGGAAAATTAATCACTCCCTTCCTTGCTATAAAACGTCCACCTTTACATTTCCAACCCTCACAATAAGTCCTGATAATAATTATTCACTATTGTATCTCAAGAGACCCCTCTACATTTCATTTCATCAGCTCCGCCTAGACAGTTTGGATACTACTCACTGGAGATTCTGCCTTCCTCTAGACCCCCTGGCTCTAGGTTCCATCTTAAAAGCTTGTAAGCCAGTCACTTCTTGCCTTTGTAGTCCTCACTCATGTATTTTTATTGATTTAACATGCAAGCAGGACTTTCCAGTTTTTAGCTTTAGGAAAAAAAAAACAAAAAACAGATGCAAAACTATTTAAAGGGGCTTCAAAAAGTTCTAGGAAAAATTGAATTGAAAGATATGAAATTTTTTCACAAACTTTTTTTAAAAAACCTTTTATTTTGAATTGAGTGAAGAGTTACAAAACAGATCATCAGTTTTACATTCAATAACTCGTACACTTTGCTTCATTACGTTAATTGCAATCCCCTCCATGTACCAACAGTTAACAGTATTTACCTATATTCATTTTGATTATTGCATTCCTCCCTATGTCTCCCAATACCTTCATCTTTCCTCTTGTATATTGCCTGCTCTGTCATGTAGTCTACCCTCTAGCCCATGAATAATTTCCCTCCCCTTCCTCCCCAATAACCAATATAGATTGTTTCTTTTATCAAGAAAACCTTTTCTTAACTTTTTATAATAATGAGCTCATATACTATTTGTCCTTTTGTGATTTACTAATTTTCACTCAGTATAATGTCTTCCAGGTTCATTCATGTTGTGAGGTGTTTTGTAGATTCATTGTTTTTCTTCAGTATTGTGTAATATTCTCTTGTGTATATGCACCGATTTGTTTAACCATTTTTCTGTTGATGGGCATTTAGATTGTCTCCATCTTTTTGAAAGTTGCTCTGGTAGCATTGTGATTATGAGTCAGGCTGCTAACCTCAAGGTCAACAATTCAAAACTACCAGCTGTTCCGCAGAAGAAAGATGAGGCTCCCGTAAAAATATACAGCCTTGGAAACCCTATGCAGGGTCTCTGTGAGTTGGAACTGACTCCACAGCACACCACCACCACCACCATCATTTTGATGGTCTCTTGTAGAAGGATGCTAAAGGATCCTGTTTTCTTATTAATTTTTCTCTGTCTCTTGACTGGTGCGTTTAATCTATTTACATTCAATGTAATTATCAATAAATTTGAATTTATTGTTGCTGGGTTTTTTTTTGTGTGTGTGTGTGGTACTGCTTGTTTCTTTGTTTCACATAATTTTCTGTGTGAAGTTAATTTTGTGGGTTTTCTTTTCCTTTGAATTTCTGCTGTGTTAATGTTTGCTAAACATATTGATTTTTCTCTTAAAAATAATTGATTTGCAGGTTATTAATTTTCACTGAGGTTAACTTATAATTTAGTAATTTTGTTTTCCCTGTTTAAAATGATAAGTTTTAAAACTTATAATTTATTAATTTTGTTTTTCCTGTTTACCTTGAAATCCACTTGAGTTATTTGCCATTTGGAAATTCTGTATCTCCGCCGCCCCTCCTTTTTGCTTTGTAGATATTATAAATTAATATTATAAATTAATATCTTGTTATCAACTTTCAGTCTCGTAGGTTTGTTTACTTTAAATACTATATATCTGGATTGCATTCTGGGCTGTGTTGTCAGGTATGATAATCTCAGGTTGGTGTCTGCTGTTATTGGCTCTCAGTCCACAGAACACTTGTTAGCATTTTTTGTAAAGTTGGTCTGGTCCAGTACAAATTCCTTTAATTTCTGTTTATCAGGAAATGTCCTAATTTTACCATTGTATTTGAGAGACAGAGTTGCTTGGTATATAATTCTTGACTGGTGTTTTTAATTCTTTCAGAGTTTTGTTTATGTCATCCCATTGCCTTCTTGCCTGCATGGCTTCTGCTGAAAAATCAGAGTATAGTCTTATTGGTTTTCCTTGATAGGTAACTTTTCACTTTTCCCAAGCACCTCTCAGGATTCTTTTCTTGTCTTTGGTTTTGGAAAGTGTGATTATGATATGTCTTGGTGATCTATTCTGTTTAGAGTTTGTTTCACTTCTTGAATACTTATCTTCGTGTATTTCATGATGTTAAGGAAGTTTTCTTCCAATAACTCTTCAACAATTTTCTCTGTGCTTTGTTTTATGATCTCTTTCTGTTCTGGAATTCTGATCACTCATAAGTTGTTCTTTTTCCTGATGTCTTATATAACTCATAGGCTTTCTTTGTTTTTTTTTCATACTTTTTTTCTGATTGTTCTTCTAGTTTACGAGTATTGAGAGGTTTGTCTTCAAGCTCACTAATTTGGGCTTCCATTGCTTCAGATATACTCCTTTGCCTTTTCAATATATTGCCCATTTAAAAAAATTAGTATTAATTTTCTTGATTTGTGATTGCAGGGTGTGTACTGTTTGAAATTTTGCATTTGTTTTGTCTGTGCATTCTTTCTTGTAGTAGTGTTTTCCTGAATGCTTCTCAAGTGTTTTCTGTGTTCTCCTTGCTTTCCTCAATTTTTCTGTCAGTCATTTGAAGATAACCTAAATCTCAATCATCCTTTTGAATTTATTTTCAGTTAGTTTCATTACCTTTTCTTTCTCAGAAATATTTTCTGACTTGGCATTTTCATCATTTGTTTCAGCCTTTCTGTCTTATTACTTGGTATGAGCTAAAATTGTTTGTTGTCTCTGGGGCATTGTTGGGTTGTTGTATTGGTATTTAATCAATGAATGTATGCTGATGTATTCTTAGGCTCTCACCAACTGTCTTGTGTGGGTGTAGTTAGAGAATGGAAGCTTGCACACTATTTTCGTTTGTTATTTGTGCAGCTAGTTTAGGGTGAATTTGGCTGGTTTTGGTTGCTGTCTATCATTGATCAGGTGGTATAGGAGCTGGTATTGGCTCTTTCCCAGTGGGTGGAATTGCAGAGGATATGGTTATGACTGGGCTGTTTGGAAACAGTTGATTTCTCCTGTCAGATGGGAAAGAGACACCCCTCCCCCCTCATAC